TGTTACAGCTGAGTTGGATGTTAAACATAAATGCTATTGAAAATATTTCCATTTTTAGATGGCTGGTGTGGTTTTTGCTAAATTAGTGCTAAGAGAGATTTGTGTAGCACTCTCTGCATACGCAAAGCCTGCACAGTATTCAGCTGCCAGGGTAACTGAACTGATCCTCCAGTTCCCATTCCACAGATACAGTAGCTTTAAAAACAGAAAATCCATATCTGACTTGAAAAAAACAAATTAAATGAGGTCTTGTTTCAAGGTTCAAAAATGACATGTGTATATCCTTGAATGAGGACTATTTCTTTTCTTTTATTGTGGAAAATAATACATTTCTTCAATTTAAACCTATTTTTATTCTCCTCAGAGCTTTCTTCTTCCTCTATGAATGCTTTCCTTTTATATATATGAATAAATCTGCAAAGGCAGGGTGAGTTTGTTTTGGTGTCCTTCAAGCTCATAAGGTTTCCTTTATTTTAAAGAAATTAACCCAACTGAAAATACTTCTATTTGAAATTTGTATTTGAAATCTTCTGCAAACACCCACTAAATCCCAGTCTGTTCTGGCACCTTACCATTTGTAGAGCTGGACATGATGAAGCAAACACAGTCGTACACAGAGGGGTTTTCTCGGATCCTCTCCACCCAGACATTGGCCACCTCAGGCTGGGAGAGGCAAGTTAACAACAACCTGGGCAAGAATTCCACATTTCATAAATTAGAAACCAGTTCACTCCTTTTAGCTGTACCAGTGTAAATCCAAAATAATGACAGTGGAAACAGAAACAGGAATCTAACTCACAGCAAAGTTATTCCACAACAGTGCAGAAACAATAAAAGGAAAGGATGAGAGGATAATAAAATAGTGAGCCCACTTGTCAGTTTTCTTCCCAGGCCTCAGAGCACAGCAGAACTACACTAATGATGCATGAATTCCTGAGATGTCCCACCTGCTTGTTTCCAGAAGGGTTGGGGAGTCTGAATCACACAAACGTTGCAGTAACACTTGGCTTTAAGGAGAAAATTCAGAGGGAAAAAAGTTAATAAAATCCATCTTTATTTTTTAAAAAAGGTATAAAAATATTAATTTCATAACTGCAGCCATGTTCTGAGATTAAAGCCAGCTTCTCCTAACTGTGCATGCACTTCCAGTGCCTCAAGACCACCAAACTTAAAAACTAACTTGACTGGTGACTAAAAATCCCCAAAAATAGTGGTCTGTGTCCTTTCTTCCTTTCCTGAGCACTTCCCACACAAACATGGCCAGCCAAAAGTTATGAATGAAGATGAGGCTGGGCAGGCAAGCTTAGGTCCTTCTCCAACATGAATTTCCTGATTGTGAGTCCAGACAAGCAGTACCTGTTCATGTACAAAGCACACAGACACTCACCCGAGATTCTCATCTTTGCTAATGGACATGCAGATGTCTTGGAAACAGGCCATATTCCCTAATATTCCCACACAGATTTCCTGGAAAGTCAAAACACAGTGTAATGAGACAACTGCAAGCCCACAATTTCACTTCCAGAGCCATAAGACAAAACTAAGAGAGGTTCAAAGATGTTTTCTGGTTTGACTTCCAAGCTTGTATGACCTGCTGATTTCATGACAAAGATACAAATTTTTCCACAGATTCCATACAGATTTTTCTGTTCTATCAGACTAGCCTAAAATACACTCAGGTACTATGCAGATATTTAGGTGCTCCATAAAAGCAAATGTATCTTGAAATCAGCTCTGCTTGCATATTCTTTGTATACTGTTTAGAAGCTGATTTGACAGCCCTGTTATTAAAGCAAAAAGGAATCCTAAAAGAAAAATATCACCAAAACCTGACCCTCATGATATTCACTTGCTCACAAAAGAAAGGGACCTTAATACAAGCTTCCAGCAAAGCCCATTTTCTGATTAAAGAGATCTAAAATAAAATAAAAGAAACAACAAGCCCCAAAGTAGTGCATCCCATTAGGATACTCATGCCAAGGTAATCACTAAGAGGATGCACCCTTGTGTAAGGAGGACCATAAGAGCTGTGAAACACCTGCAGGTGACTGGTGCTAAAACAAAGTGAGTCAGTTTGCAGCAATTTAAAGTCAGATATCAACTCTCTCCACCAAGGTTGTCTTCTTAATTATGAACATGCTATAACCTCTGCTAAATTTCAGCAGGCACTCCACAAACACTGTTTCATGACAGCAGCTGTGACAGCCAACTTGCACTCACTTGCAAATTGGGGCTGTACTTTCCAAAGACAAAGTACTAAACTTTCAAAGCTCCATTTGTCTCTATTGATCTCCTGGAGTAAAGCTTCTGGTAACTTCTGAGAAAGAGAATTTACATCAACACTGAATACCTTTGAAAATCCTATTTTGAGGCCTGCAGTGCACTGTGTAGCACAAGTTGGAAATCAGTGACATCAAAACAAGTGGAAAATTAAAAAAATAAAATTAAAGTATTGGTGTCTTAACAATTCCAAAGATTACTTTTTGTAACCTTTTGGTGTTTATTTCTCATTATCTTGTTCTGATTTGATCAGTAATAAATTATTTTCCCCAAGTGGAGTCTGTTTTGCCCATGACAAATCACAGCAACTGGTGAGTGATTTCTCCCTGCCCTGACCCATGAGCCTTTTGTTGTATTTTCTCTCCCCTGTCCAGCTGAGGAGGGGAGTGACAGAGCAGCTTTAGTGGGCACCTGGCCTCCAGCCACACTTCTGCAGGTCTGGCTAAACAAATTCATGGCCATCTCTGTTCAGTAATCATGAAACAAGTCAAAAGGCAAAAAAAAGGCCAGATTGCTGAATTTTATAAAAGGTCTTATAACTGTTTGATAAACTCAGTCCTTCATCAGTGTATCTAGATGAGGATGTGTGAGCAGACAGGTACCAGCTCCAGCACCACCAAAATTCTTACTGATTAGGGCATGTTAAAAACAGAGTGAAAAAGCATTTTACAATTTGATTTTATGTTTTCTCCTGGTTCTCCTTATACACTACAGGTGCAATGGGAGAAGGGAGATAAATGTAAATGCATGTACAGAGCTATCTACTATTGCTATTGACACAGGAGAGCTTTTTGGCAGCCCATACTCACAGTTAGCCGAGGGCATTTGGACTTGGCAAACACTCCCATGAATATATCAGGGGCATTGAACTCCTGAAGGAATAAAGCAACATCCTGTGGAGAAAGTGAATGGAGAAGTAAATGGACCTCTGCAATTTCCAAATGCAAAATCAAACATGCTCCCACAGCACAAGGACTGGATCAAAGAGATGACAAACTCACTACAAGGAATTTGTTATTTGCCAACAGTTAATACCAATAATCCTTGTTTTTCAATGAGAGAAGGCCAGCAAGCCCCTCTGGAGGTTCAGTATGCCAGTGATTTGCTGTAGAATGAGCCAAAAAGTCACATTTGCAAGAAAATGCAAACTGCCCAAATATCTCAACAGACACTGAACCAGATTTCAGTAAATATCATGTTTTAAGGCATGACATCACCATGACAAATAAAAAAGAAGCAAGTGAAGGGACTGCCATTAGCACTTGATCAGAACACAGAAGAAGAAATCTCTTCCTCATTTTACCACATTAAAACACAAGATTAGTTTTCTGTTTGGGAGTAAAAGACCCATGTTCCATGTTTACTTTAAAAAATCTGAGTAACAAGATAGGGAATAAAATAATACTTAAACTAACATATATATATATATATCTCAAGAATCTGTTCCAGCATTTGAGAGTGTTGGGAAATATGTTGTGTTACACTGCCACTGCAAGTCTGCAGCTAAACTTAGAAAGGCTGTTTATCTATCAGAGAAAGCTATGCTTACCATCAGGACGTATGACAATTACTAGAGGAAAATATGCCTGTTCAGAGATGGCACGAGTACTATCCCCATAATCCAAGTGCTGAAGGCACAGGCTGTGCACCCAAAGTTAATTCCAGCTGCTGTCCTGCCCCGCTCCTCTCCCCAGGGCAGCTCCGAGGTGAGTCCGCTCGGTGCCGCCCCAGCCCAGCTGTCCTGCCGCACACCCGGGCGTGGGCAGCAGCTCCAGAACGAGCGAGCCGGCTGATCCCCTGCCTTCTCCCGCTGCCAGCACCATTCTGACGGGACACTCGGGGCAGACGGGCCCGAGGCGCCGCACAAGGCTCCTACCTCGTCCATCGACATGTCCCACACCTTGCAGATGTCATTCTCCATCTCCTCGTCCAGCTCCGTCCGGGCTCCCTCGGGGCTGGCGCCGGGGTCCGGCTCCGCGGGGGCGATGACCTGGGACAAGCGGGGCGGGGGACAACGACCCGGCTGAACCCACGGCGCCACCCGGGAGCCGCTGGGTCCCCGCTGGGTCCCCGCCCGGTGTTTTCCCACTATGTTCCCACCCCGGCCCCCGGATCTGTGCCCTGTGAATCCCAGCTGTCCCCGGGTTTGTCCCGGCTGGTCCCCGGCGTCCCCTCCGGCCCTGGCAGCGATCGCGTCGCGCCCGCCTGGCGCTGACCGACGCCGGGCCCGCCGCCCGCTCCCTCCCGGCGGCCGCGCACCTCGATGAGGCGGGTGAGGACGCTGAAGAGCCAGTGCTTGCTGTACACCGTGTTTCCCACCGCGTCCCCCTCCTCCTCCTCCGCATCGCTGCACGGCGGCGACGGATTGCGGTCCATGGTGGCCCCACAGCCGTGCGGGGCAGCGAGGAGGCGGCGCGGCCGGAGCGGCGCCCGCGGCCCCACAGCGCCCCCTGCCCACCGGCGGCCACTGCCGCCTCCCGCGCCCGGGCCTGTACCGGGATCGCCCCGGGACCGTGCCGGGATCGCACCGAGGAGCGGCGGGGAGCGGCACCCCGATGGTCCCAATGGGGTCCCTTTGGCAGCCCCCGTGATGCCCCGACACCGACACGGCCGCCCCCGCAGTCCCGCAATCCCACGCCCCGGAAGGATGGACGCTCGCAGAGAAGGGAACAGTTCTCAGGAGGATTCCTTTATTGTGCAGTACAAAGCGAGGTGTAGCAGGAGCGGAGTTCAGCGCTAGTACTTGCTGGGCAGCCCCTTGGGCCGGTAGCGGTTCGGGTCCCCGCCCCTCCGGCCCCATCTGTTCGCCTCCTGGTCCTGCCGGGTGTCCTCGGCGCCTCTGCCGCTCACGCGGCTCTGCCAGCCCTCCCGGGCGTCGCTGTGGGGAGGAGAAAAGGCACCTGAACATTCTGCATCTAACTCAGCCTTGTGTGGGTTCCCTCACTCGTGGTTTCCATAAGGCTTCTCAGGGTGAGATGCAAGCACATGCTCGGCCTTTGTCTGAGAGCCCATGGTGGAATCTATATCTGTTATGTCGGTAAATGAACCAGCAATGAAGGAAAGTTCCTTATCAGAAGAAATGCACAGAGAGCAATCTGCCTTCTTGGGCCGACAAGAAGAAAGGCTCATGCTCATGTGGCACCATTCCTATAGAGACCGACTGTCCAGATGGGAAATTTTTCCCCTCCCCTCTGCTGTCCTTCTAGGTACTAAGCTGAATACAAGTCTGAAAGGACCTCACTGCGGCTGGAATGCCTGGATCCCTAATAACTCACTGCTAACAAGCCAAGCACACTCCATTACCTGATCACTTTTGCTGCCCAAGCACCACCAGGTCCTCTCCGGGCAGCATCATAATTCCCACGGGCGTGGAAATACTTGTCAGCACCTTTGTAATTCGCCTCACGCATGTCCTTGTATGCTCTGTACATATCCCGTGCCCCTGAAGAAGGCAGAGAAACAGAAACAATGTTAATTTGAAAAAGTCACACCAGAAATAGTTTGGTACCACCTCAGCCAGGAGCTGAACCCCAAGGAGCAGTAACAGAGTGGGGCACTGCCCCACATCACCTTTGTACAGAAATCACCTGTGGGGGCTGATCAAGGCCCTCATCCAGCAGCAGAAACCAGGGGGTCTCTAACATGGAGCTGAGGATTTCCCAGCTCTGAGGGCTGCAGCACTGACTGCTGGTAGCCTGTGCTTGGGGAGGGGTTCCTGAGGGAAGGGCCCCTGGTTACAGCAGCTTACCTCCCACTGCATCCCGGACAAATTTTCCAGCCTGGACTATTCCTCGGACTATCCTTGGTCTCTCAGCACTCACACACAGAACAACGGAGAGCAATGCAATGCAGACCCAGAGCCTCATGGTTCCTGGCCAAGCAGGGAGCTGGGAGACAGTGAGAGAAATGAGCAGTTCTTGAGCACCACTGAGAACCCACCACTCCCCCAGCTCTGTCTGGGCTGCTGCCTCAGAGCTGAGGGCTCACCCAGGACCCCCTTCTCTCCCTGCAAGGAGTGGTGCCCTCTGTGCAACCACAAGCTCCACAACAAAAGCAGGTGCACAAGAGAAACCAGAATTTTAGCACTCCCTGCTGCTCCTGCCATGAGTACAAAGAAGCCCCACATGCTAAAGCATTGGTTCTGCTCCCAAAACACCAGCTCATAACACTGCACACAGCTCACAAATTCAGAATGTCACTCACCACTGCAGAACAGCAAAGTCAAAGGAGATGGAGATGGTCTCGTGTGCTCTCAGACTCAAAGAGGGTATTTATAAGCAATTCAAACCCTTCAAAAGAGGAAACTGGAAAGGATACCCATGGCTGGGAAATCCCCACCAGAACTTTCAACACAGAAATCATTACTGGAAACTTGTCCTTTCTGAAAGTCCACAGCTCCTGTTACGCAATCTTTTAGAGGCACTTCTTTTACGGCACTTCTTCAGCTGTCCTTAGGACTATTTGCTCCTCATAACAACCAGACTGACAAACTGCCTTAAAGGCTGAAGAGTTCCATGTGCTTGAAGTGTTACTGGTATCTTAAGGGTGACGCTTTTGTTTGGATCTTGGACTGAACAGAGCTGGGAGGAGAAGGTGCCTGACTGCCTGCACATTGCAGCACGAGGCCAGGTCTGCGTCTGTGCACAAGGAATGTTACCAGAAGGGCTGCATAAACTGCTAAGTGAAAATCCCATGTGTGCTGGGATTGCCAGATGAATTCCAGAGTGAATGAAATGGAAAATGTGAAGTGTTGCTCTTAACCCCATTGCAAAGCAAAGCATATACACCTACATCCCTGCTGATCTAAGATAGCACAGACACACAGACCATCGAGGGGCTCTGAATGGTTCATTTTGCCTTGCCTTATTCTTACAGGCCCCTCTCAAGGGTCTCCAGCTACCTGGCTGCAACAGCAGCTCCATGGGGCTCAGGTGGAAAATTTTGGACATAGCAGTAAACATTTGACTTAATTCAGATCCATACAGCCACAATTCTGCTAGACTTTAAATCAACTGTCTGGCCCTATTGGCATGGCTCACTGTACTTTCCCTGCTTAAAGCCTGCTCACGCCCCTTGGTTAACAGCTTGACACAACCCTTTCCTCTGCAGAAAACTCCAGGGCTGAGTGCAGCTGCACTCGAGTGAGTGTGCAGGAGGTGTCCCCATTGTGTGGCCTTGTACGTGATTTGGGAAGTCCAGGAGAGCACTTCAGGTGCCCCTCTGAAGAGTGAAGGGCAGCTGCCCCACACTCTGCTACTGGGAACAATTTGCTGCTGGAGCTGCAGGGCACAGGCATGAGTTGAAAGAGGTGCAATAAAGTTAATAAAGTGTCAACAGTAACTGTTCTTGGGCATCACTGGACTTCAGTCAAAAAAAAATTAGCTTAAGGGGAGCAGAGACATTTTCCACAACCTGGAGCAGGACAGATACTCTGTAGCATGATGTATCTCAGAATGGAACAATTTGCAACAAGAATCTAAACCCTAAGCACAAGGACAAAGATTTTTGTCCTCCTGAAGCTGATACTTCACAGTGTAACAGCTTAGCCACTGCAGGGACTGGAGTGCGGTGCTTTGCTACAACCCAGCCTGATGCTCCACACCCTTGCAGTACACAGCAGCTCAAGTCCTTCTCTGCTGGCCGCAGGTAGCCCCGGCCATCACCTTCTTGGTTTTTACAAAACAAGGAAAATGACTCCTGTAGGCTGGGGTACAGGCATGTGGCACTTTGCCCAGGGACTTGGAACAAAGCATTGCCCTCAAAACTGACCCAAGGAACCCTTTCCCTACAAGAGCTCACACACTCTGGACTGTAGAGGACATTTTGAGTCTTACACTGTTTCACGTTCTCTCCAAACCAACATTTCTGCACAACACGAAGGACAATGAGGACAAAAAATGCATTTCTGCAAAACATGAGGACAATTGCAAGAAGGCAGGTGCTAGAGGGATTCTTAAAGACATCTCAGAGTGCATCCCCTGGTGTCCAGCAAGGAGGACAGCAGCAGTGACAACAATGCTGGAGCTGAGATAAAGCTGCAGCTCAGGGCTCCAGCAGGGAACAGCCTGAGCCCTGCTTTCCCAAATTATTGTATTTGTGGGGCAGGAAGGAATGGTGAATCTGACTCCATGTTTTCAGAAGGCTAATTTATTATTTTATGATACTATATTATATTAAAGAGTACTAAACAAAACTATACTAAAGAATAAAGGATACTTACAGAAGGCTGAAAAGATAATAATGAAAACTCTAGACTCTTTCCAGAGCCTTGACACAGCTTGACCATAATTGACCAGTAAGTCAAAATGATCCACATGAAACCAATGAAGCCATCACCAGTTGGATAAACAATCTCCAAACACATTCCACATGTGAGCACAACACAGGAGAAACAAATGAGGTAAGAATTTATTTTCCTTTTTCTCTGAGGCTTCTCATCTTCCCAGGAGAAACTCCTGGGCAAAGGGATTTTTCAGAAAATATGAATGTGACACCATATCTCCTTGTCCTGCACTCCAGGTCATGACCCTTGGCTGACAGAAATGAGTTGCAGCCAACACTGCTGCTTTCACAACACAGAGAGGCGAAGCGTGGAGGAGGGTTTGAACAGAGCATTTCCTCCTGCCCAGCAAGAAACACTGGCAGCACGTGCACACTGGGGAAGAACACACTGAGGGGGCCTGGAGACCATGTCTTGGTTTGTACATTCTGATGCAGTTAAGATAAAAAGCAACCCCATGCTGGTTGCCCTGTAACTGTAAATATTTATGAATGCAAACTATGTTCCTCAAACATTCCACAATTTTGCAATCTGAGAAAGGGGATGAGGTGAATTCCCAGCTCAGGCACAATAATATCTGCAGATATTTCTTAATCTGGGAAAGAACAGTACCTTTTTATGCTTACACGTGCAATAATTAATTTCAAGAGTTTTGCCAATAATATACACTACCAGTGACTTTGGGCTTATAGACATGGAGAATGACTGCAAACCTGTCCCCTTTCAAGAAGCAGATTCAAAATGCAGGTATTTATCTGAAGTAAAATTGATTTACTCATAGGTTTCTAATAGTGAAACAACGTATGATAATTTTTCTTTGATAAAAAGAAAATACCAGCAGCAGTTTCCATTTAAAGCTGCTCCAGGCTAAGCCCCCTTTATTCATCTCTGCTTCTCAAGGGTCTCTCCCACCACCAGTCACCCACAAAAGCCAAAGCTGAGCTGCAGCTCATCTTCCCCATGAGGCTGGCTGAGCTGTCAGTGATGTGCTCAGCCGGCTGACAGGAGCCTTGCTCTGTGCAACTGAGGCAGCTTCTGTTTCAGTCATTTCTGAACAGAAGACCCTCTCATTTCAGTCCCTTCACCCTACCCAGATGAGATGAAAACAAACCCATCCAGAATAGGAAACATTAATTTTCCAATTCTTCTTCAGAGAGTACATTCTCACTCTTTATTGACAGCCAAGTTAGTTAAAATTGTAAACACAAGCTCACTTTAGACACAAAATCTGAACACACACTTCCCATTATGTTATCTGTATGACCCTTCTGACATGATTTTAAAAAAAAAAAAAAAGCTTTAACTGGAATTATGATTTACTGAAAAAAACCAGGCCCCAACCCTCAAAGTTAACCAAGTGTACCAAACCCCCACAGAAGTAAGAGACTAATGTGTGCACAAAATACACCAAGCAAATAGAGTGGAACCATAGAGAGGTAAGCCAGGCACATTCTCAGAATTCCAGGAAATCCTGAGGAAGGCAAGGGGAGCACTCAGCTGCACCACCCACTGCATGAGCCCAAGGTAGGTAACTGTGGCAGCCCCTGAGGCAGCAGCAGCTCATGTGGCAGGGAACAGAACAGGCACCAACACCATCTGGTAGGTGCCTGGCTCCCATTCCAAGCCTTACTGTGAGAGCATGGGGTGTTCCTGATGGCACAGAGCCTTCTATTTCCAATGGCAGTATGTAAAGCCCAGAAGATTTAAAGGTTTTTTTTTTAGAAATAGTATTGGCATTTCCACAAGCAACAGTCTGGCTGGAAGCCTGACATGCATTGCGACCCTGGAATTTCCCTTCCCCATGTTAAGTAACCAACCCACCCCACTCAAATTTTTCTTGTTGACAAAATGAAATATTCTGCAGACTGCATCTCTCAAAAGGCCAAACATCGTACTCAGTCCTATTTTGATTAAAAGCATTATTTTGCACCAATACAAGTGGTGCAAGTCTACATAAAAAGATTCCTTATAAAGCAGTATTTTCACATCATTTTACAACAATATTATCAAATTTTAATTAAATTTAGTTCCAATTAATGCATTACTTTTTATTTAAATGATATTTGTGAAAATTGAATATTGACCACATGCTGTGGCTTTCTGCTTAAAATGAGTCATACAGTGAAGAGGATCACAACTAGAATTCGAAAAAAGAAACTCGTTCAAAGATGTATTAAATGCAGAAAGAGTGCTAGTACAAAGCATAGTTATGTAAATGAGATACAAAATCCAAGTGATTTTGTGAATCTTCATATTCAACCAGATACATAAAAAAACTTCTTTCTTGACAGCATTCATCTAAAAATACTTATGTGAACCTTCAGCTTTTAAAAATATTATCAAAATAAGGCCTCTCACTTTCCAAAATGTCAGAATGAATTGTGGAATTAGCAAAGTTGACCTGGACTTCAAGAAAGCCTTTTGACACGGTTTCCCACAACGTTCTCCTGGAGAAACTCATGTCCAAGCTCATGGCTTGGACACATGGACTGTTCACCAGCCAAAAAACTGGCAGGATGGCCAGGTCCAGAGAGTGGTGGGAAATAGGAGTTCTATCTAGCTGGGGCATGGTCACCAGTGGTGCTCCCCAGGGCTCAGTGCTGGGCCCAGCTCTTTTTGATCTCTTTCTCAGTGATCTGAATGAGGGCATGAAGGGCAGCCTCAGTCAGCTGCAGACACACCAGGCTGGCTGGCAGTGCTGATCTGCTGGAGGGCAGGAAGGCTCTGCAGAGGGATCTGGGCAGGCCGGAGCGATGGCTGAGGCCCGGCTGTGTGAGGGTCAGCCAGGCCAAGGGCCGGGGCCTGGCCTTGGGCACAACAGCCCCAGACAGGGCCACGGGCTGGGGCACAGGGGCTGGGACCCTGCTGGGCAGAAACGACCTGGGGGTGCTGCTGACAGCAGCTGAACATGAGCCAGCAGTGCCCGGGGGCCAAGAAGGCCAAGGGCACCCTGGCCTGGATCAGCCATAGTGCGGCCAGCAGGACCAGGGCAGCGATTGTCCCCCTGTGCTGGTGAGGCCACTCCTTGAATCCTGTGTCCAGTTCTGGGCCCCTCACTGCAGGAAAGACATTGAGGGGCTGGAGTGATTCCAGAGAAGGGAAATGGAGCTGGTGGAGGGTCTGGGGCACAAGTCCTCTGAGGAGAGACTGAGGGAGCTGGGGATGTTCAGCCTGGAGAAAAGGAGGCTCAGGGGAGACCTCATCACTCTCTGCAACTGCCTGGAAGGAGCCTGGAGCCAGGTGGGACAGGGTTTCTTTTTCCCAAGTAACAAGGACAAGAAGAAATGGCCTCAAGTTGCTCCAGGAGAACTTTTGATTGGATATCAGGAAACATTTTTTCACCAAAAGCATTATCCAGTACTGGAACAGGCTGTCCAGGGAAGTGGTGGAGTCACTATCCCTGGAGGCATTTAGAAGCCATGTAGATGTGGCACTTTGGGACATGGCAGTGTGGTGGATTTGGCAGTGGTTGAAGGGTTGGATCTTCAGGGTCTTTTGCAACTTAAACAACGCTGACTCTAATGCACTGTCCCGAGGTTTGTTGGAGTATCACAATGGATGTCTATGGTCACAATGCACAAACAGGCATGGGCAATTTAGAAATACCGTGTTTGTAGTTTACCAGGGAGTTCATTTAACAAGTTTGTCTGTTAATCAGCATTTTTTACCATAAATCCACTACTTAAAAATATTACTCTCCCATT